AAAATATTAAAATGACAGAAAAATGTGAGGCACAATAAGATATTAAGATTATATAGTGTTATATTTTATAATGTTCTGACATCTGACAATAAAATCATACTAATTTTAAGAATGCATTGGTAGTTCATAGGGCATAAAGTTAATCCAACTGGATTATAGAATTAAATATCCAACTAATCCATTGCCTAATTCAATTGATAATCTAGCCTCTCACTTTACTTACGAGCAGCCACAGATATTAATCCATTACATAAATTCATGGAAGAGTATGATTAGTTTGTTCTTAAGTAGCAATTATTCGTAGACAGGATAACCAGACTAATGCATGCTTGTACGACTTCTAGTGTCTTCCATGCATATCAAAACGACCTACAAAATCATTACTTGGAAATAATTGTTTTCACAAGTGAGTCTTCTGGTGAAAATCAGTAGGCCCCCTTACATTTTAACTAGAGATATGAGATATTAAAGAAGAGTATCATGTTAGTGTGAAAAAACACAAATATACTTTTAAAGAGACCTCCATGAATCCACAACATAATTTAAGGCCTGTATATATATTTGTACACTTCTTTAAAATATAAAATCCATGTGCTCTCGATCCTGATTTGTTGTTTTGTAAACATGTAGCCACATTATGCTTATAGCACCAAAATGAACTTGTGTTAATTAATTATAAATGCAAGATCCATTGTGATTTCATGTATTAATAATGGTAATGGTTATTATGTATAGTGCAAAATAAATGATCCGCCGCTGAAATTTATATTTCTGTGCTTCTATCAATATAAACATCCTGTGTTCTTCATTTTGATTTGTTGTTGGGTATACATATAGATACATTAGATCCCACTGTTTGCAGCAATAAACTATTTACAAGTACATGTAAGATCCTCTTTAAGTTTGCAGTGTCCAGGTTAACACCTGTGTTGTGTGGCGACTTGCAGGGCAACCAAATTAACGCTGTTGTAGCATGGCTACATGCAGCGCAGCCTAAAAACCAACATCCAACAACACCATGCTGGTAAAATGGTGCAAACATACCTGAGACAAGATTATAGGTGTTATTACAGACATCATACACATAATTGATTCAGTTTTTAATTACCACTTTCACAGGTCTATAAAAGAATTAGCTGGTAATTACATTACTAATATACTTAGAAATTAATATATTATTTTCTTGGAACCACACACACAGTGAGATGAACAATATGCAAAGATGATACACTAGTAAAGGGAGAAAAGCGCAATAATGGTCCATTTGGGGTTTTGCACTGTGCTATATCAATGCACTGATCATGAAAGTCAAAAAAAATTTTCAGAAACAATATTTTTGTGAATTCAATTTACATTAAATTTTTATTTTTAGAATGACTGCAGATTTTTCACAGAAATTTTGAGGTCAAGTTTTATATATTTAGTTTTCCAATTACCATAAATGAAAATAAGGTTAAAATAATTATAATTAAATAGAAAGTAATAAATAATGGGAAATTGAATTAAGTATTATAACTCCTTTATTGATAAATTATATAATTAAAGTATAAAATTACAAAAACCTATACTGTAATAAAATAGAGATGTTGGTTTTAATAATGATAAACCGATTTTAAGTAATTTTGATAAATTTATCAAAATTTGAAACAGGTATTGTACAGTAGGTAATTATTTTAAATCAAAAACACCTGGGCAGAAGGGCATGGAGTAGCTAGGAAGGACATCGTCCAATATGGACAGTCAGAAATCGTGCTTGCAAACACAGATAACTCTGAATAACGTAACCCGATAAATTACATCATCAAAGTTAACAAGTTCATTAGCCAGAAACCCACATTGAAGACCACTTTAACAGACACGTCACGTTGATATCTTTGTTAAATTCTCGGCCAACACCTTCGACAACGCCGGATGTCCTTGTGAGGCCATGTGGTCCTGCTGGTACAGGTGGGGTGGTGATATCATTTCCTCCTAGATGTTATATTGATGGATTTTATGGACCCACTAGGGAAATTCCAATCACTGTCAAAAATTGATTCTTAATTATTTACTTGATTTAATAAATATTTTGTTACATTTCATATTGGTCAGATGATATTAACTGTATTACAAGAAGACTGCTTTGATATTTCGATGGGCTTCAGAATACTGGTCTGATATATAGTCCAAATACCTTCTCGTAAACCAAGTCAATGTTGATATTTTTTTCTAGATTTTGTCCAATTTTCAATCAATTATACACTGTATTTTCAGTCTGTGACCTTGAAAGTACTTAATCACAGAAAATGGATTTTGTGTGTGATCCTATCATTATATCTAATTTATTTAATACTGTATATAGATAACCTGTAACTGCTAATTTGCTTAGCCTGAGGTGATGAGACTGCAGTGGCATATCTTGGAAAATTGAGGGAGATGGGAGGGGATGGTTATGGGGTTTAGCATGATGAGAAAGTGAGGAGGTGCAGCTAGCTGAAGTATATGAGATCATATGAGGTGATTTTTAACTACCAGTGCTTGAGTGACGGGATTTGCTTAGCAAATTTCCAGTAGGAAGATTGGGTGGGGAGCAAACTTTTTCTGGTTAATAGGGGAGAAGGGAGGGGGGGGGGAGGCTTCAAAAGTGTACCGTATGCCTGTAGCAAGTTTACCCAAGGGCAAATTACTGAATCTGGTGTTTACATGATTGCCTCCAGGAATTTCAAAGAAGTGCTTTTTAACCACCCACCAACAAATACATGCGCAACATCACTCAGCACCAGAAGAACATTGAGGGGAAATCATTATTAACCAAGGTGAAACAAGCTTTATTCTTGTAGGCCAAAAATAATTACTTCCTCACTTATTCATTGAGCAGGTGGGAGGGACATTCCACTCATGACTAACTGGTCAACAATGAGGGAGCCCTTTAGTGAGCACCTGGGAAAGTGAATGATTTATCAGGCAACAGTGGGAGTAAGTACATAAAGGGGAATGACAGCTCTAATCAAAATGACGAGGTTGTAAATGTTTACAACAGATATTTTTATTGTAGGAATGTTGTTTTTTCATCAAATTGAATGGTACTGGTAAAGGTAGGATATTTGTAGAGCGCCTTCCGCAATCAAATCGGCTCAAGGCGCCGACAGTAATAAATAAATTAAATAGGCTACCGACGTATATATTGGCATATAAGGCGACCTGCGTATAAGACAACCCACAAGTTTAAGAAGAATTTTGTACAATATTTGTATGTCGGGCGTATAGGACGACCTCCTGTTTCATTGTCAGAATTCCTACTTTATTCTGCTTTTTATGGTCTTGATACAGCATCTAGCTGGCTAAAAACGGAGCCAAATGCAAAGCAAATCTTCCAAATAATACCATTTTATGGAGTTTTTAAATGTTCAATCTTATTTCCCTGTTTTTGAAATTGCGTTCATTCATGATAACATTTAGTAGCTTCATTGCATTAGTAAATTTATGTGTTACGGACGATCCGAACATAAGATGAACATGATTTTAAAAATCTAAAATTTGCATGTCGTGCATATAAGACTTGTATTGCTGTTTTTCGATCATAATTTACTATTTTAGGGCCTTTATACGCAAGTATACAAAATTAAACAATTTATCAGCAATATTTTATTTTGTCAAGCTTTAAGAGAGAGGAAGTAGATGGAATGGATGTGTTTTGGGGAAAACTAAAAAGAAACCCTCTTAATGTTGTCAACACATTCAATTAATCTACAGTAGGCCTACTTCTGTCTGACAAGTAGAATTAAATGAAATCTAATTATAAATACTTTAAAAGACAATCATGAAGGAATTCAATTGAATTTGGAATGCTTAGCATATCACTGTAATGGCACATTAAGAGTTTGAATAATTAATAATAGTGAATAATTAATTAAAAAAAATAATTACATGGCCTATTATTTTATTACCTTTTCTGACTTATTTTCTTTAAAATGTAAAGCACAGAAAAGTTATTATAAATGCATAATTTACAGCAGAAGAGCATTAATGTACATTTTCATATTTGGTCTAAAGTCAATATGAAAGTAATGACATGAATTATGTACTGAAACATCAGAAAAACATAGCATACAGTAGTAAAATGGAGTAAATGTCACCAACTATTAATCATTAATTTTGGTCATGTAAGTTTTGACAATGACATAAAATATGTGTTTAGAAACATTCAGAAAGACATACTGTAAATATTGCCAATTTAGTAAAATATAACTGACCTGGCTTTTATATTCCTAAAACAAAATGTAGGTAACAATTAGGCAAAGGCACCATTTTGAAAACTGAAGTGAATCCTATAAATAGCCTGGGTCCACTTATGATACCACTTTATAACCATTCATTAATAGCAGTAAAAACCCAAGGATTTTTTGGTATTGATTTATTTTAAACCTCCGGCCTCCCTTTGATCTTGATCTTGTCTAGAATTTCCAGAAACAAGTTTGCACAACTGTTTTTTTGTTGCAACACTTTTTTTTCTACATCAGCCTTTTACAGGGGTCAAAATGTATACTTTTGGGAATAAGAGGGGTGAAGTTTGAAACAGTAATTAGAACGGAAGTAATTGATAAAGTTTGATAGTTTGCAGTTGACAGAGTTGATAGTGATAATAAAGAATGGGGGGGCATTTGGTATAAGGCTGGCTAGTTTGATTAGTTGATTACTTCATTACTGGACCATTTCCTAATAAACCATACACAAAATGCTTATAATTAAAGTTATAGCACATAAGCCATCTGCCTGTTGTGACCTACTGTAAAACACACATGAACAATTTAATTGCTTACTTTCTATTTAGTAATTTCAATTTAATATGATAATAGAAAAGTACTTGCCAGAGCCTCAACAATAAACTCAATATATTGATCGGTGTTTAATGACATACTTAATCCCTTCAAATAGCTGATTCAATATTTTAATTTAAATTTTTTTTTTCCCAGACTGTTGTCGGACTACATACATACTGAAAATTGGATTATTTCACTTACTTTGCTCCGACAATGAGTTGAGTTTCATCATCATTCAATGCTATCTTTGATATATCTTCTAAGCCTCCTCTTCTATTTAATCCATACAATCGTACATCTAAAGATAAAAATAATTTAAATAAATAATATGGTATACACTGATACAGTGTTTTCCAACAATACATACATTTTTTTTTTCAGATTGTAAATTTAACAAACAGTATTATTGAATACAGTAACTTTGTTGCATTAAGTTATTTGATTTGAAGTAAGCCATTTTTGTTTTATTTAAAAGGAAATTCAAATAAAAAAAAACTTCAGTACAATACAGGACTATCTGAAAAAAAAAAATCAAAAGTACATTTTTTTTCTTCACCAAATTATAACTTCCAAACCAATAATTTTTTCTTCTTGCATAAGGTTGATCACCATTGGATAAAATAATAACTTGTCAAGATACCGATTTAAACTTTTCTTACTTTCCCTAGAAATGGGAAAGTCCAAACATTTAATAATATTTCAAGGATGCCATCTTTCAGCGTGATAAAAATGCGCCAGTGGCAGATCCACGAATTTGAAATAGAGGGGCCCCAGAGAGTGATTTTCACAGACAAAGGGTATATGCTACCTAAGTCCTAACATAGTTGGGGCTGAGCTAAAAACATTTATGACTATGACATGGCAGATAGCCGGGAATGGCACTCTTAGACTCAAAATTTGAGTAGCGCTTTATTTTTTTCTCAATTTTGTGAAAATTTCGGGGGGAAGGGGGCCCCTTAAATGCGCCACTGTTAATTCTCATTTGCGAAAACAAGGAAAAGAAATTGATGGATTGTTATATGTGAAACCTGTATTATTCCATAATTACAACCTACTCAATTCTCAGGTTTATATTTATTGAGCAAAATTTGTTTATAAACATTTAGGAAATTCCGATGTCTACTATATTTATAATTTTCTTTTGCAATCACAAGGTAAAATATTTTGTTCACTCAGGATATGCAACAACAAAGCAACTTCCTCATATTGGTAGGATCAGCAGGAAGGGGGAAGAGAGGCTGTAAAGCAGATTTATAATGGTCCAAAACTTTCACTTCTGGAACCAACCTCATGATCTTTCCTCTGCAAAATTGTGTCAGACCCTGTTAGACAGCTTAGCCCCATTTCTCCAGAATGTTTACCTGCGTGCCCACTGGGTATGACCTAGAGTGAGATTATGAATTTGGGGAATAACTTTTTGTTTTTAATGTTTTCATTTAAAAATTATAATTGTTATTTAATTTCTCTTCAAAAAGGTTAAACAGACTGTGAATTCTACCAGGTTGGCGGCAACAGCACTTATAGGGAATTAATGAACAAAATATAATGCATGTCAGAACACACGAACCAGATAGTCATACTTTGTTTTTCTTTTAATACAAAAAGTCAAACTAAGGGTATGCTATTGTTTGTCATGATACTAAACAAAGAAGTAAAATCTACAACTGAGAAAAATTCTAATGGAGGTGCAATTATCTTAAGTTTGAATTCCTTGTTGAGCCTTAACAATCCGACCTTTGTTAGCAATGAAAACTATTTTCTGTATTGCCGAAAATTAACACATGGACAGCGAACTAGCCAGGGCCAAGGCAAGTCCATTAGTGTCATCACTGTACGTAATAGAGTGACACTGTTTTTGTTTATGGTGCTTGCATATCTACTGCTGAAATCTATTAGACTTTACTCGGTTTTAACCACATTCATTGAATTAAGTCATCACAACAGAAAGGTGTAATTGTTGTTAACGTATGTATTTTTAAAAATGCTGAATCAGGATCCAGGAAGCAATTAGTGTCAATACAGGTAGCTTTCAGTAGCCCCGATCAGTGATCCAAAACAGGGGTGCTTTTTGTGTCAGCTCTATATTGTGGGACCCAAGCTGAAACTGATATTGTTTGCATACCACCACATCCGTCACACATTGAATTTGAAGCATAGAAATAATTTCCTGGAAACACCTGTGATTCATGTGCAGAATGCGTCATGTGTAACATTTGATCTTTTGTGAATCACATTTAAATCATTACAATTTTAAGCTCAAAATATACGTTTTTAAAAATTAATCTTGTTTTTCAGAATGCTCACTTCCATAAGCATCTTACTGATGCATAAAAGTATGTAAGGTGTGTCAGACAAAAATTGTTGCCATTAAATGATAAAAATTCCAAGACAATCTCAAGGAGAAAAGGGTTTTTCATGGATCATAACAACTAATCTGGGAATACCTCAGGGTACTGATGTGATTTTAAGATGAGTCATTAGTAGGCAGTTAACAGTCGTACCCAAGCTATAAACCTGGGAATATGATTGAATACAGATGGAGTTGCTACCTGTTAATCATGTGATGTCATAACACAGTTAGGCCTACTAAATAGGATGTCAATTAAATAGCCAATTTCAGGGACAGGTAGAGTAACAGAGCCTCCAACTGGCTATTTGATTGGATTGTGGGTGGTTTGAGCATACTTTTTTAGGTAGTTATTGGTGTCTGCCTACTAGACTGTTGTTTAATATGTGATTACCTTGATAAGTGACAATATACAGGTAGGAATGCATAATGATACCAATCATTGACATGAACTCAAATCAGCACTTACTGAGATGAGTTAACAGGATAGGTAAATTAGGTAAAAAAAACCAGTTTATTGTTGCATTACATATTTAATGCTTAAAAATCATTTAGCAGTCTAAAATAGTACAGTGTGGTTAATTAATCCATTTTAATCATGGAATTATATTTTTAAAAAAGCAATATAACCAAATAACAAAACAAGTACAACTTAAACTTCATATACAATACTAAAGGGAAATGACTAATTAACTTCACCTCAATAAACCATAAGTTGGAAATCGGTAAAGCAATAAAAAACAAATTTATGATGTCCTGATGCTAACTTTAGTGTAGTACTATCATCTCATTTATTCTTTAAAAGTAATGTAAAGTTCTAATGAATCTATATGTACAGCTTTTTAATCCTTATACAGCATATTGCCTAATATTTAAGATTATGCAATATTTTTAGCGGTAAAAATGTTTCCAAACCTCACAGTTTGTAGAATCATCATATTTTCAGCTATTTTCTGCCGAAAGCCTTACCATGCTGCCTACAAATTTTTCTGTTTCTTGCTTTGTAGAATTTAAACCAAAACAGTATTCTGATGGTCTATTAAAATATAGGCCTATATTGTCTGCACTGTATATGAAAGAGGCCTATGAGAGTGAAATTTGTGCAATAATGCAACAGGAGACCTACTAAATAGTGCAATCCAGTTGCAGTAAGAATCCAGTATTTGACAATGTTTTTAATACTACATGTTAGTATATTTTATTGGTATTAAATACTTAAATATGGTTTACCGTATATCAACAAAATTAGGTCAATAAAAAAGGAAATGTTGTATATTAAATTTGACAAGATCATGAGTTGATCGACCCCAAACAGCTGTAGTGATACTGAGATACCAGTACTGTAGTCAGAAGAATTGTTCTATATGAAAACATGAATTTTTATCAGAAGATTATGCCCTATAAAAAATATTATTAGTTTATCACCCTATCTGGGCAGGAAAAGTGATGAGGGAGGGAGGCTTTTTTTTTTAAATTTTTTATTTTGCTAAAGCCAAATGGTTTGTTTGCTGGTGCATAGATATTCAAAGTAAAACATGATTTAGATAATGCAAACAATATCTACTAACTATTTAATAAAATAAATGAAAAAAATAAAGAAGTAAAATTTTAAAAATAAATTTAAAATATTTTTTTTTTTTTCAAAAATATATTTTTTTTTTCTAGTACCATAGAAGGCATGCGCGCGAGGGTGATAAACTAATAATTTTTTTATTGGGCCTTATTGATAGGAAAAATAGTTAAAGAGCAGCATCTAACCACAGAATTACAGGGTAACCACAAATCCATCAAAATATTTATTTCTCTACACATGACTTACATGCATCATAATAATAATAATAATAGATGGATTTATATAGCGCAAATAAACGAGGTCTCTATGCGCTAGACAATAATGAAGTCAAGAACACAAAGAAAACAGCTGGGAAAAAAAACCAAAAAAAAAAACACCAAGCTAGCACCCAAACCGAAGTATGGGGTTACACCATCATCGCCAACTGGAGGTCTGTATTTATGTACTCCGGTTAGCATCGGTTAAGTCTTGATCTTTTCTGGGATCAGGTGCCTCCTAACCTGGAACAAACAACACTAGCTAGCAAGGTGAAACAGAGAAATTGAAAAAAAGAAGAAAACGGTGGCTATAAAGAGGCAAATAAAAAGGTTTTGAGTCGCTTTTTAAAGATGTCAATTGACGCTGATTCACGGACTTCAACGTGTAGTGCATTCCACATCATTAGCACAAATTGAATGCCTGTGGGTCTGTATATGGTATACCATTGTATATCTATGGCAACAATATATGTGTGAGTTTCTAATATACTAGAACACAATGGAATCATAAATGCTGGTCAAATATAAATGGTATTAAAGATAATTCTAATAAACCCCAAGAATTCTGTACATTTGTAGAATCCTATCACAACACAAATTTTTAGAAACCGCAATACTATCGTGAAATACTATGTATGCCAAGCTTGGTAAACATGGTAGATATTGTTTAAGTACGTAGGATAACTGCGAGTACTGTATATAGGCTAATTGAAATTTCTCACCCAAAGGTATGTTAAATCAAGCACTGAGGTGAAATACAAACGAGGGATATTTAGAATCGTCTTGCATTTATCTTATATTAATATTGCAGAAAAAGTAGGCCTGATCAGTAATTATTCATGATTTATAACCTGGATAAGAAAGGCTTTTAAACCGGGAATGAATCTTAGAAACTACTGCATGAGTCATTGTTCTTTATAATTCGGGGAAAATAAGCCAATAATAATTATCGCTGTTACGAAACAGTACTAGGTTTTCAGGGTTAAACGGTTGTATAATATACAGGATTATTTTTTAATTGTACAAAATCTAATTGATAGTGTATGCAGTCCTGTTACCATGGTAATTATAGTTACACAAAATCAATCAATCAGAACCAATTTGCAATCTCCTCTGTCCCT